CAATTACGTGTTCTTATGTGCTCCTATGTGCTCCTATGTGTTTATATATTTTTATATGCTTTATTTATTTGATTTAAATATTCATTCAAATTTTCTTATATATGTTTTAGTTAGTTTTTATAATGATTCGAGAGGTATTTAAATACCTCAAAAATGTAATAGATAGGATAATTAGATTTGTTTTATTATATTTTCCCTTCCTAGATTGTGGTTAGGCGCTCCTCGATGTAATAGATAGGTTGCGTGTTTATGTGGCTTATGTGTTAATTGTTTTATCCGCTTTTCTTAGGATTTTGGCATCTAGATATTATGCTTACGTGTTATGTGTTACGTGCTCTTATGTGTTTATTTGTTTTAATTTATGCTTTATTTGCTTCACTATGAATTGTTAATGCATAACGTCACCACACTAGTCCAACGCTAGTTGTGGCTTCTCTCTTCGCTTACTTGCTAGTCCAACGCTAGTAAGGACTATTAGAAATGGGCTAGTCCAACGCTAGACCCTTTAGGTTGTCTTGCGCTAGATTCATCTTTGTGTGCTATTCACTACATTTTCATGCAATATTTTCATTTTTAAGATCTTTTCTCATTTGCATGATATTCCCTATTATATTATCCCTTATCCTCTATATGTGTTAATCATATCATTTAGAATTGCATTTCATTTAGGACATTGTATAATAGGTTAGTTCATTTGCTTGTGCATATTAGGAGAATTATTTTTCAAACATGGGAAATGGGTGATTATAACTTTTTAGTTCAAATACCCCATTAATCCCTGTATAAGAAAATTATGTCACGAGTTTTTGCCTCCCATACCCTTTATGTTGCATTCCCTTTTTCTTTGATCACTTATATCTATGTATATAATTTAATTTACTTTCTTTACTTTTCTTTTTTTCATCATTTGCATACTCGTGACCCTTTCAAGGAAATATTTTGGCTTTCGCAATTAATGCGATTGTTTCAATTAAACCTTTGAATGGATATTTTGACCCTTTCGATATTTTATAAATTTAAATTTGCATTCATGTAGGAAACATCCAAATATGATAAAATTAAGGGTTAGATTAGGAAGATTTTGACTAAACCTCGCGACTAGCTTAGACTAGGTTGAAAGGGTGCCTTAGGTTTGAGTCAATTGAACCTTTGCCTTCGCTTTCTTCAACCGTGACTCCCGAACCCATTTTCTCTTGTTTTCAATGACCTGGAGTTGTCAAAAAAGGTTTTGATTTATTTTATTTTTGTCAAAAAATATTTTTGGGTGACTTGGTACACCAAAACACCATACCAAGTGGCGACTCCTATTTTTTCTAAAAAGCCCTTTTAGACTGAATTTTTGGACCCAAATTGTCGCATTCTTTTAAGTCCCATTCTAGGTCCTTTTTAATTTATTATTAATAAATCACATCTTTTTATAAAACTCTTTTTCTTTTCCATCGCGAAAAATGGGGCGCGACATACTCTATATCCGAAACTTACTTTTTGGAGAGTAAGTTTAGTTCAAGTAATAGTAAGTTTTTATAGATTAATAGTAAATATTGTTGATAGAATAGTAAATTTGATTAATCATCAAAACTTACTAGTTTGTGGCATAAATTTACTATTTTACTTAAAGAAACTTATATGAAACAAGTATTAGGAAGTTTATTTGAAATAATGCTAAGATTTTTTTATTAATAATTGAAGCTTAGTATTATAGTTAGTAATTACTCGTAATGTAAATGTATGATACACAATTATACGTATCATTTATAAATGTTATATGTTTTAAGCATTTTAAATATACTATGAAAAACGTTTTTTTTTTTTTTTGCATATGGCCTTATAAAATATGTAAGAATAATTTGTCATATTATAAATTTTGAATTATTTTTTAATTTGTGAAATGTTAGAAAGTTTGGATGATAGTAACAACAAATCTTTCGAGTAATATATAGAATTGCAGTTATCTATACATCACAATTTTCATATATTGACACCTATGAACACCTATGAATATAATAAAATGGTACACAATTTGCATATATTAATGCCTATGAATTTAATAAAATAGAAAATCTTAATAAATTTATTTTCTGGGTCACAAGTATAAAAATTAAAGTTGTATTAACATAGCATAATCTTTGAAAATTATAGTAAAATTACCCATATGTTAGGTTCTGTGACTTTCAAACATACTTTGTATCATTTACATTATGGATTTGTATCCATATGTTTTCTATCAAACTATTTTTTTATTGGCAAATGGTATGTAAATTATTATAAAATGTCATTTTATAATCATCATAATTTTTTATAGATGAATCTTATGTAAACTGTTAAAATTATGAATTCACAAACGACTAAATCTAACTACTTTATGGCATATATTAGTCTAAATAACTAAAAAATTACTGTAATCATGTGCGCGTTGATTGTTGAATTGAAATTTCTTTTATTACTAGTACAAGTTCTTCTAATCAAAGCAAAATAAAATCAAATATCTTTTCCTTTTGTATGCAGTAGTTATGCTTAATAGAAAATTATTAACCAATTTTTACAATATATAATTTCTCCTAAAATTAGTAACATTTTCCATGACCTCTAACCTTGTCAATAATAATAACCACCGACATGTAGATAATCTTAAAAGCAAAAACCATCAATATGACAAAAAAAAGAATATTTTCATGATGAACGAAAAAAATTGCGATTTTATATAGAATCGAAGAAATTCATCATGAATGAGAATAAATTGCAAAGTTATCACATTTCTAATTTCATATGCATCCAGAATTTCATAGCAATAAAATGCCAATCCTCAGCTCAATGGAACTTCAATTATTGTTAACTTACTATTTTAGATGAGAAACTTACTTTCTTATTTTTAAGTGTTATCCTATTTAGGTGGATAGACCTATCAAATAATCAATGGTCGCTAAAAGTAAATAAAAAATAAATCAAAAAAGGTCATATAAGTGTTATCCTATTTATGTCTCAAAAAGTAAATCGAAATAAAAATGAAAGTTACTTTTAAAAAAAATAAATTACTACTTTATATTCGAAACTTAATTTTTGGAGATAAGTTTAGTTCAAGTAAAATTTTTATAGATTAATAGTAAATCTTGTTGATAGAATAGTAAATTTTGTTAATCATCAAAACTTACTAGTTTGTGGCATAAATTTACTATTTTACTTAAAAAAACTTATATGAAAATAGTATTAGGAAGTTCATTTAAAATAATGCTAAGATTTTTTTATTAATGATTTAAACTTAATATTATAGTTAGTAATTGTTGGTAACGTAAATGTATAATACATGATTGTATGTATCCTTCATAAATGTTTTGTGTTTTAAGCATTTTAATAAATGTATGTATCATTTACAAATGTTAAGTGTTTTAATAAATTTATTTTCTAGGTCACAAGTATAAAAGTTAAAGTTGTACTAATGTAGCATAATCTTTGAAAATTATAGTAAATTTACCCATATATTAAGTTTTGTGAGTTTCAAATATATTTTGTATCATTTACAATATGGATTTATATGCACATTTTTATCAAAATTATTTTTAATTGCAAATAGTATGTAAATTATTATAAAATGCCATTTTATAATAATCATAATTTTTATAGGTAAATGGTATATAAACTGCTAAAATTGTCAATTTATAATGAGTAAATCTTACTACTTTATGGTATATATTAGTCTGATCAACTAAAAAATATTACCTTAATTAAATGTACTTTGAAAGTTGCACCCCTGTCACTATTTCATTATTACTACCACAAGTTTTTCTAATCAAAGTAAAACAAAATCAAATATCTATTTCTTTTTATATGCAGTATTTATGTTTAGTAAAAAATTAATAAACCATGATTACATTTCATAATTTCTAATGAAATTAGTAACATTTTCTAAATAAATTAGAATAATTTGTAAAATATGTTATTTTTTTACCAATATAATCAAAAGAAATTTGCACTCTTAAAAAGCAAATGGGAAGAAAGGACGATGGCATAAGTATAAATGTGAGCAACTATATGCATATCACACCATGAGTTTAAGTTTGATTTGTTCAAAACAACAGTAATTTATTTGTTAGTATATATAAAATGCATATTATTTTTCTGCATATGGAAAATACAATTTCATATATACTAACCATTAACAAGATATGTAGTTTGAACACGATCAATTGAGCTCATATTTCATTTGTTTAGTTATCATTTATTTTGTTACTTAGGTTGAATATTTACATTTGAATAGAGTATTGATATCAGAGCTTCAATTATTCCCAATAACACTAATTTTATGTTGATAAAAGTTGGTCTAGACAATTAAGTGTCAATGACAACAATTGCTAGAATATATTTTTAAATTTTTTTTTGAAAAATGACAAAAAAATTACACTTTTTTTGTGAAAATATCAAATTGTTAATTCAATTCAAATTAATTTTATAATAAAAAATATTATTCCTCAAAGTAGTTGCTTTATTTGTATCTATGCCCGTACTAGTGTCGAATGGATAACTAAAATAGGAAACTGCAATAAAAAATAATGTTACAATAAAGGTGCAAATAGGTAGGACTTTTGCTAATTTTAACCCAAAATGATAAAAAAAAAGATAGGCTTTTTTGTTGTTTTGAATTCAAAAGTGTTGTGGTTGTGATAGAATTCTTTGTTAAAATTTGAAACGGTTCAGAATTTCAGAGATAAGTGACAAGGTGATTTTTTACTTAAATATGGAAATTTTTTACTTTTAGTATTAGTAAGTTTAATTTAAACAAAAGTAAATTTTATCAAATAATAAGTAAGTTAAATTACTCAAAGTGTAAATTTCTATTTTTGACTAAAACTTATCTTTCAGGCATATACTTACTAGTTTTAATTAAAAACTTATTAAAGTTAATATTAATTAATTTAATATAATATTTAAAAAATCGTTAAAAAACTTGATCTATCACTAAAGATAATAAAAATCTATAATAATAGGTTTCGTTGCCATAACTATAGGCACCGAAGCATTGTCCGTAGAAGTATCAAGTACCAATTCGGACCCACGAGAAACATGTCGAGTAGAGGAGCCGACTCCCCGTCACCAGCCGATGACATTGGCATTGCTTTCCCGGAGTGCGACCGCCTCCACCGGGCCTTATCAGATTGCCACCGGCGGATGCCGGCGGGTCCATCTCGGCAGGCGGCATGCCGCCTCCTGAATCACTCTCTAGCCCAGTGTTTAGTAGCGGTAGCTTGTCCAAATGAATCAGAAGCCGTCCGAAACCTCTGCTCCAGCGGCGGCACCGCCCTCAAGCGCCACCAGTGCCGGCAGGCTCAGCAATCTCTCGCTGTCTGCCTCTCCTCGCGTCAGCTTCAAGAATCCTAACTTCCAAATTGAACTCTGCAGAATTCTCCATCTTCCATAATCGTCTTCTTAAGGTTACTGTTATTGAGCTTTCACATTTTCTAGAATGATTTTTGAGTTGTTGGTCATTTTTATCCATTCTTGAGGAAGAATTCAGTTTGATGTATCAGGTTATACTTGCAGTTTATGGTATCTATATGACGTAGTCTACAATTAAGGGTTGTCTTTTGGCTTGCCAAGATTGTTATGGACTTTGATATTTTTGAGCTCGTGTCTTGCCAATCTTCTTTTTAGTGTTATAGTTGCCTTATTACAACAGAAACTGCATTCCTTTCTTTTTTCTGGTCATCTGCCGATGAAGTTTACCACCTAAATGGTCTACCGCTACCAGTCTATGACAAACTATTAAGGGATGATAGCTCTGTATTGATTATTGAAGTTTGAGTTTGGAACTCGAGTTTCTTTTATCGTTTACAATGAAGAACTGGTGCCAACCTCGTTAGGATTTATCTGAACCTTTGAAACTGGAAGACGAGACTGGGAAGAATGTATTTGTGGATTAAGTTTGTCACTTTTTAAATATTTTCTTATTTTTGTTACCAGAATAGTGCTCTTTAAGAATTTCCGGGATTGAAATTTACTCTTGTTGTACCTTTGGTGATAGACATTCAAGTCATCTGAGGCTTTTAGTCTTCTATATTTCAGATATGGTTAACTATGCTCTCAATTTGGCTTGGTCAAATTAGTTGTACATGTGTGAATTCTACATTTATCCAATTTCTGCTCTCATTCTTATGGGATAATAATCTACAAGTTATGTGCATATAGCGCTTGATTATGTTGGTTCAGTGACCATTTTATTTGAGTATAAACTTTTACCTCGGTTATATTTGAGAAGATGATAGGCTTTGGTGTCACAGTGTTGTCTTGCAGTAGATAGTGGCGCTTGCTGCTGCTTAGATATACCTTGTCTTGGAGCAATAGACACTGATTTAGAGAGAATCTAGTCCTGCTGCATATTTCTGCAGGACATGAGGAAACTGATTCCAGCTATGTAACTGTTTTCTTTAGAGGATGTGTGCTTGTTTCCTCCTTGATTTAGTGGGAACAAGAGTATCTAAGTAGCTATCCTACAAGTCATTAATATGTAATGGAAGCATAATTTGCTTGTAAGTACCTGTTATACTAGAGCGGTATACTGGATGATGGTTATTTTGGAAAATGTATGTTGTCAGGTGAATGGATCACCTGCAACAGAATACTTGTGTGAGATGTCTTTATGACAAAGGTTATCCTGGAAGAGTTATACTTCTTCTGAGGAATGGATGCCCTTATGTAACCATCAACACATCTATAGATTTCATCTCTTTGATTAAGCTTGTCTACCCGTCCTTCTAATGGCTTTCAGAAGAGATTAACCATTATCAAATTTGAAGTTTTGCGTTGGCATTGCCATGTTTACAGTATAACACTGCAATGGCACAACATATAAGGATCATCAGGAGCATTGCTAACAATAGTCAAATTCATGAAGAAAAACTACAAAGAAGACAAGGAAAGGGTCGAAGGAATTAAGCATCATAACATAAAGAAAAAAAAATGAGAGAGTCTAAGGAAGCATAATAGCATCATTCACCACTTAACCACGGCGAATAACACCTCAAGGCCACCTCAATTTTTATTGATCAGTTGAAGCATTGTACTAGCAGAAATAGGGGATTGCATTTAGATTGTTTTGTTTGGGTATTTTTTGAAACTTATTATTTGGAATTTTACCTGCTGAAATATTTGGGAAAAAATCGTTTCGCTTGCTTATCTTCTAATGCATCTACTGACCTCCAAGGGAGTTGTAATAAGTGATCTTTGAGGAAGACTAGGCATACTGTACCAGTAATGCCATCATTCCCCCCATTGTCTAAACTAGTCCAAAATCAACACTTAACACCATCCACAAAAACTGCAAAACAGAAGAATTTACAGTACCACCAAAAGTTAACCACACATTGAATGCAAACATCACATAGCAGCTTAGTTTCATCGGCACCATAAAAGACCAAAACAAGGATCAGAACACCTTTTTTAAGTTTACATGAACCACTAATTCACAGCCAACTAACAAAAGGGTTAAAAAGAAACTGAACAGACAGT